GCGGGAGGAGGGGGTAGGGAGGAGGGAGGAGAGAGGAAGAAAAGCGGCAGGCGGGAGGCGGGAGGAGGGAGGATGGAGGAGGGAGGCGGGAGGAGGGAGGCGGGAGGCGGGAGGAGGGAGGAGGGAGAAGAGGAAAGTAGGAGAAGAGGAGAAGATGATAAGAGGAAAAGAGGAGAAGAGGAGGGAGGAGAAGAGGAGAAGAGGAGAAGGGGACAACATGAGAAGAGGAGAAGCGGAGAAGAGGGAGGAGGGAGGAGGGAGGAGGGAGGCGGCTGGGAGGCGGGAGGGAAGATGGAGGCGGGAGGAGGGGAGAAGGGGAGAAGAGGAGGGAGTAGGGAGGAGGGAGGAGGCAGGCGGGAGACGGGAGGCGGGAGGAGAGAGGAGGGAGGATGGAGGAGGGAGGAGGGAGGAGGGAGAAGGAGGAGGGAGGAGGGAGGAGGGAGGAGGGAGGAGGGAGGCGGGAGGAGGGAGGCGGGAGGCGGGAGGAGGGAGGAGGGAGGAGAGATGACCTTTTTGACCTTGCTCTGGTGGGCTTTCCCTGATGGACAGGGACCCTCGGTCAACATCACCCTCTCGCAGGGAACTGCATCCCGCTCTTCGGCGGCAACCCTCTGGAGAGCCTTGACAAAACGCTCAGCCCCGCTTTCGTGGGAGGCCGAGGCGGCGTGAGAGTGAGGGGGCATTGCCCAGCGAGGAGCTGAGCAGTATCGACACAGTACCTCCCGCACACCGTGCAAAACAACACTCCTCTGAAAACGCACAGGTGATGAGAGGAGTGGGCCCTGGGGAAAGCTGGATGGCGAGGCGCAGCGGCTGGGCCATCTCGCATTGGGAGTGGACCAACACACCGGCCAGGGCGAAAATCACAAAGCTTGCCGCGGAAGGCGGCAAATTTTTGATGGCAAACCTGACACCGAAACAGACCTTTAGCCTTCACGGGCGCGTGGCCAGCGGCGAGGAGCCGCTGCCGACGAGTCACGTCAGTGGGCAGTGCCCGAGGGCGCGGAGGCTGCCTGCCGACGCGATCGGCCTTATTCCGGGGGCAGGTGATGCTGACCTCCCGATTGACATCGAGCAGTCTTTGCAAGACTAGGGAGGTCAGCAGATCAAGATCAGAAACCAGCTTGACATAGTCGGGGTCTACCTCCCCTTTGGCAGCGGCCACACCAGCGAAATAATCGGCACACGAATTCAGAAAACGCTCGGCCTCGGAGAGGCCCCATGCCTCGCTCAGCGAGGTGGTCACATTGGATTTTGTCCAGAGCATCTCGACATGGCCTGATCGACGATCAAGACGATCCCAGATGAGGCACCACAGATCGAGCATCGGCGACGACTTAGCTAAAGACGATCTCGGGCGCCTCATCGCCCGCACCAATGGGAGGTAGTCCGAATACACCAAGATGTCGCCCGTGGAGTGCACAAGCAACATATAGAAGGCGTACAACTCTGATCGAGGACTGCTCTGCTCGAGGGTGGGGAGGGTCCCGCACAACACCCCGTCGAACAGGAAGTTGCCAGCAACACTCTGGGAATCTAAACGAACCATAGCCCATCCACATCGACGAAGCCTCCAATCCTCAGCCCACTTGCCTCCAGAGCCATCCAAGCCCCAGGTGCCTTCAGAGACGACGACGCCTTGCTTCAGAACACCCCACCCGAAGGTCAGGGAGGTCGGCGGAGGAATTTGAGGCACGGCGGCTGCCAACGTAGGTAAACCCCTCGTCCAGAAAGCACTATCATGACTGGCAGCATTGAGGGCCTCGGGGCAGAGGTGCTCGGACAGGTGGAGGGCATTCGAGTCGATGGAGGAGTTACACGTACATTGCCATACTTGATGCATCATCGTCTCCTGCGCCACCCCACAGCGCTGGCACACGCCACTGGACAGATAGGCTGCCTGTCGAAGCCGTGCCTCGGGCCAACAACCACCTATGACGATGCAGCACAACAGAGCGGCATCCTGGTGGGCCCCATCCTTGACCAGCTGGGCATGCATTCGACGGAAGACTGTGACATCAGCCCTTGCTTCCAAACCGATACCACAATGATGTTTTGCGGCAGCTCCCCAGACTCCCGGAGACGCGGACTCCTTCACGCACGCGTCGAGGTAGAAGAGGAAATCGGGGGATGTCGTTCCAAGCACCATGGTGTGTGCAACCGCTCGGGTGGGCGAGGCAGGGGCCCAACCGAGGTCGAGCAGCGTACAACTCACAGCACCAATGGGGCCCTGGACAGCCCGCCATCGCCGGTTTGCAGGGAGGGCGAGCAGCTCGCCCCTCAACTCTGGACGCCCGAGATGGGCACGGAAAAAATGGGTACGATGCCCAACAGCAGTTCCTGTTCATTTTGAACAGGACTCGCTGTCCGCGCCGCCGCGGCCTGTGTTCATTTGAGACAGAAGGCCGCCCGCCCAACAGCGGCCGCTGTTGGTTTGGGACAACATTTGCTGTTGGGCATTGTACCCATTTTTTCGGTGCCCATTTCGGGCGTCCAAATCAACTTATCCCAAGTACGGTCAACTCCTTAACGCATACCGGGGGAGAGGCCATGGCAAACACTAACCAGCGCCTGCAGTTGCTCTCTATCCTAAGCCCGTATGCCGGGCCATCTCGATACTGATGTCGGACAGCCAACATAGTAGTAGTGCAAGCTCCAGGGGACCAGTAGCCTGAACATTTTGCAGCGGATGCCCGAAAGGCCTGGACCTCAGAAGGTGGCAAACTTATGACGCTGTGGCTCCACGTGCCCACGCTGAGGACACCAGGTTTGAACAGCTTCCGAGATCGGCCACACAAGCGGGCCAGGAATTGCAGTTTACGACCCCTCCTGAAAGCAATTCTCCGCCTCAACCTCACCTTGGCACTGCACCTCCTCCTCCCCGTCGTGGTCATCACCCCAAGATTCTTGACGGCCTCCGAAACCTTCAAGGGGATCCCCAGTTTCTGGAATTCAGACAGAGCAGCTTTAGCCAAGGACGCAGAGGAGGCAACCAGTGAGCTCTTAGGGGAGACCTTGCAACCTATGGACGTGACGTCCTGGAAGAAGGAGAGGACGGCCTGCGGGGCAACCTTCAGGATGTCCTTACTCGTGCCGTGCGCGCACTGCGTTATGTCGTCGACATACGACTTCACAGGGACATGCGGTATACGAATGTGTACTCCAGATGGCGTAATAAAAGGGAGGAGGTCTGGACCCTCCAAGACGAGCCATTTCAGACCCCCCCCGTGGGCGAACCCTCCAAAACACCGTCCCCAGACCCCCCCAGGCCCTCCAAGGTAGCCTGGAAGAGACCCCCCCCGAAATGAGACCCCCCTCCCTTTATTACGAAACCTTGAGTACTCAACCTTCAGCGCAAGCTGGATGAGCAATGCCACGACGACACTATCGAAAAACTTCTCCATGTCCCAGTGCGCGGCCAGGGACTCGAAACCTACGGATCCTGCCACCTCATACGACAACGCCCGCAAGAGGGCACCCTGGAGGGCTGAGGAACCTGTAATGGCAGAATCCCAGACATCCGTATGCTGCTGAGTCCACTCGTCAATCATCGCACCCCGCATGCGACAATACACACGGTGCACAGTAGCACGTTTAGAAACAGCACGCTCATCATTCTCGCTCTTGGGAAGCATCGCCATGATGTT